TATAATGCAATATTTGTGTTCTGTTGCTTCATTTGGATAATTTTGATACAAATAGGAGTAGATTTCAACTGAGAAGCTAGGGGAGTAGCTTGCCTCTTTCTTGCAAAGTCCAGGAGTTTGGGAAAGTGCAGGCTCAGAAAAAATCTGAAGCCTCGGCCTAAGATTTATTATTATAATAATTATTTCAAAGGTTGTTGATTTAGGCTGCATGAGGAAGTTAAGTCACCTCTATTATAATTCTATATACAGTTAATAATTCAAATACTGGTTTTGAATTTGTAGGGTTGTGAGAAAAGTTTGAACTTTTTTCGTTGAAAAATGCCAGACATTTTTCAGACATGTTAAAGTATCTCCTGTTATGATAAGAGAAGGGAAAAGGAGATTATTCTGTTTCTGTGACACATTTTTTTTAAACTATGCTTTAATAAAAAAAAAAAAAGAAAAATAATTTGCTGGTGAAACATTATTTACTTTAAGCATGATAAACAAATACTCCATTTAATTCTGTTTATTTTGTTCTAACGTAACAGAGTCAAATTATGTGAACTGTCTTCTAYAGTGTATAAACTTGGTGGTCCAGAATAGATCCTTCTATTCCTTCCACTCCTTCTTAGAGCCACGAGATGCCCTGGTGTGGATCTTACTCATACAGAGCTCTGATTTTACTGGTGTTGCAGACTATTCCTGACTTGCAGTTTCAAAGATCTTCTGGCTGTTAGAAATGAGTATGAGTGGAGGTGCTCTATTTGCTTTGACTGACATAAATTAGTGCTGGACTGACATCCTGTTGGGGCCAAAATGAGTGAAGGTCAGTGTTTCTGTGTGTGTGTCTTCAAAGCCTACACTCTAAGACTGATTTGCTATTTTGAGTGAGATTTAATTCAGTATTTTGTTGATTGGCCTTTTAAGCCACAGCAGTCTTGATGTCTTGCTCTGCAAGAGAAACTAATATGTGTGACTGAGGTRTCACAATTGATCACAGGATCAATTTACATAGAAAGGAGCATAATATGTTATAAAACCTTTACATGCTTTCTCAGTGAGCTTGCAAACTTAGGCTGTCCTTAAAATGTGTACAAGAGGGCTCATTCCTGTTTCCCAGAAATTCTTTTTTTATTAGATATCCAAACCACAGGAACATGTTCATACTGAAAAACAAGCAGAAACTATTTTTACTCAGACCTTTTTTTTTTTTTTTTTAAATAAAGGCAAATATAAATATATTTTTTTCCATTTCCATTTCCATTTTTCCATTCCTTTCCATTTCTGCATCTTCACCCATCTACTTAACTCTTACTTCTGGGCATAGATCTTCTTAAAGTGTCAATCCAAAACAAGGTTTTGTGGCTTGGTGTTGATGCCATCYTCCTTTCTTGAGGCTCCTCATAGCTTGCTATCCCAGAACCAAAAAAATAACTATAATGTCTGTGACCAAGAARCTCAGAATCTGGAACAAAATCCTTCAAATTGTCATCTTTGTTTTGTTGGTAATTTTATAGTCTGTACGTGTGTTCTGTGTGAAATGGAGCAAGTTACTGATTCTCCACTATACAAAGCCCCAAGCCAGCCAGGCTCATTGATCAAAGCAACATAAAAGATAAAATTTGGTTGCTGTAGAGATGCAAATGAAATTAAGCAAAGAAGCTTCCTCAGAGCAGCCCTCATGGGACTCCGGACTGTCAACACGGGGCTCACTGAGCTTTTGCAGGGAGAGAGTAAGAGTAAGTTGGAGATGGGCCTGCTTTGAATGCACTGCAAGCAAAGACCTGCAAAGGCTGCTTTCTGGTTTTTGGCTTGTGAAGTTTGAGTGTAAAATGTAAATTTTGTTATAATCATATTTCCTGTGGAAATAAGTGGCGCGAGAAGATAACACTATCAAGACAGCCGTGTTGGGGAACCCCCCTAGGATGAGGAAGARATTTTCCCAAACCTGAATGCAAGTAAGTGTGGTGGACCTGTTCAGTCACCCAGACTCATGGGATTGATTCTAAGGACCAACTCTTGAACTTGTACCTTCTTCACTATGGTCCTAATGAAGATAATCTTGCAGTGATGACATTTCATCTGAATGCAGTTGTACTTAGATGTTTTAAGTGAACACATGGGTTTTGATTGCTTGTTTAGGGCAGTTTTTCTTGAGATGATTTCTTTTACTATGATTAAGACTGTTGCCCTTTAAAAACTATTTAATGTTGTTTACAAGGAGACTGTGGGGCTTTAATTTATGCAAATCTATGCTAATATATAAAGTGAAGTCTTAAATATTAGTGGTGTTATGTGTAACTCATGATAGTCTTTTACACATAAACTTTCTTTTGGACAGAGGCTTGAAAATAGTTGGGAGTTTTGTCTGTTTGGGTCAAGCTATCCCCATTTTAGTACTTTAGCAGGTGCAGCTGCTGCTTTTTCTAGACCTAGCATGATCTCAGGGATGAGAAGAACATATAGGCCCATATAGTGCTACCTGTAGGTGGCTGTGTGCAGATACAGTTGTCAGGGCTTTCCATTCCAGCGGGTTGGGCTGAATGTTCTTGTGGCCACTTAGCCACTGTGGCTCTTACACCACTGTAAAGCTGATGTTTTAATGAAAGATGCTTTAATGAAAAAAGTGAAAGATGAGGAAAAGATTCAGATAAAAGAACAAATGATGAGGAAATTGGGCCCTTAAAACCGGGGTATATTGTGACTCAGGACAATGTTTCCAGAAATGTGTTACTAATGTATAGAAAGAATGGAGGGAGGCGGGAAGAAAGGGAATGAAATGCTTTAGACATGACTCTGTTTACACTTTAACCCCTATTTTTCATTGTTTTTTGAATGTGATCCTGCTTGGACAGATTTCTGCAATGGGCTCTGAATACTTATTCAGAGGTCCTTACAAATGTTGGTACAAAATTCTTTCTTGAGCAGCCACGCTGCATTTATTTTCCTGGGCAGTGGAATTTATTCCATGGAGACCTTTCTCCCTAGTTTGCAAAAAAAGAGGTCACTTAACCACACTGGGCTGGACTCTGGCTTTTTAGAAAAATCAATACAAAATCTTGCCTCATTTAACACTAATCTAGTAGGTCAGTGTCAGTGGAAGGAAGGGAGGAGAGAAAGACAAGGGTGATGGCTCCAGCCAGCTCTTCTTTTAAGCTTTTCATTTTCATTAGCATRTTCGTCTCTCCAGATCAACCCTCTCTGAGGCTGGCATTTTAATAGGATGTATTTATGATTTATGTGAAAGGCTGATATGGTATTTTATAAAATAATGTATCGTACATCAGAAAGGAAGCATTTATGTTTTATCTGCGCTGCTTATTTAGAGTGTTTCCTTGATAGGGCCCTCTTTTTAAGTAACGGAATGGCAATTAGGAAAGCCTGCAGTCTGTAAATACCAGAGCTTCTCATAAATGCTGTAAATATTAAACCTCCCACTTGCGGGCTCTATATTTTGCCACTGGGATGGTGGAAATCTTGCCCTGGCGGGCGGTGCTTTGGAAGGGCTGGCGCAATCGTTGAGGATGCAGCGCTTGCTCTGAGCCTGGGGAAGGGAAGCAGCTTTCGCAGCTGAAGGGGGCCAGGCTGTACAACAGAGCATTCCCAGGGCTGCAGTGCAGGCATAAAAGCAAATTTAAACAACTAAAGTAGTCTATCCACTCTGACCACTTTTTTTTCCCAAAAGAATAAAACAATTTCAAGTGTATGTTTTAATGTTGTATATCAAAGAAGGAAAGAAGATGGTTGCATATTAAGTGCATTTTTCATTTACGAATTGATATAATTTTGGACTCATTTTGGTATCTTGACTAATATACTCTTTAATGATGTGGGATTTTTTTTGCTTGTCTTGGAATACTTGCAGTCCTATCTGGCAAGCGTTTTCTTGAGTCATTAATTTTCCATGTAGGGTTGACCTACATGGACCTGCACCCACTTCCAAGCATATGATGAGTGGAGATACTGCAGTAGACTTGAAGTTTTTTTCCTACRCTTTTCTCTAATTCTTACTCTGTATAGGTGCATGAAATGTTTTAGAATAATTCCAACCTACACCTGTTTGTAACTACTAGTGAAAAGTTCATTTAAAAGAAGTCATTGTTGGCCTGCACTTCTGAAGTGTCATTTTGTCTGTGTTTTTTAAAGAAACTGGCTATACTGGGAGAATTTTTTTCACCTTCTCCAATAAGAAATGTAGATAAGACACAGAAGTAAATTAAGTGGACCTGGGCTATATATCTACCGTGTCAAGAATAATAACAAAAAGTTGATGAGTAGGATATTACATTGATTTTGTTTCTCTAAAAATGTAAAAATAAATGAGAATTTTTTTTTTTGTGCCATTTTGCTTTAAACTTATGTGTTAGTGGACAATTTAGAAGTAACTCTTTTAAGTAAAAAGTCAATATGCTGAGCATGATATGCTGTATATTTTGAAACCAAAGGGATTTTTATATGGACAAGATCATTTTCCACTTTCCTGTATGTTGATTTAGTAATTAAATAGACAAACTGTTTTCTAAATGCATAACTGGATACTCTCCCCAAAATAAATTATGTTATGTAATGGTAATATATGAGGTGTTTCATTTCTGATTCATAGATTAAAACTTTGGACTATCTCTGTGTATAAGCTTTAGGACTGCATAGACAATCAATGACATAATATTAGCACATGTTCTGTGGTCAGGAACAAATAACCAAACTATTTGTTAATATTAAATGTATTTTTATAGATCTAATGAATTTTGCCYGATAGTTTCAAGTGCTCAGTGATCTCTGAAATTGAACTTCATTACTAGAAATGAACCTTACACCGTTCTTATCACTCAATGAAGCTTTACTGAGTTATGTTTCCCCTAATTTCTGTGAAATGCAGGTCTGTAATTCAGACCCAAAAATTCATTTTTACAAAATTGAGCATTTATTATTGAATGGAATCTATGTACTTTGGCAATATTTAGGTTGAGTTAATTTATTATTTAAATAACTTATTAAAATGTTTTTTTTTTCTCCAGAGGACTTTTTATCACTATCCATGACCGAGGACACATTGCTACAATGCTTGAGTCCTGGCCAGAAAGAATCATCAAGGTAAGTTCAGTTTAATTTGCATGACAAAGCTGACACTGGTTTGGATTGATTTTCCTGAAATGTTTTGATGAGTTTTTCTTTTAACAAATGTATTATCCTGATTATATGAGATATGATTAATTGGATTTCAGTGATTTTTTTAGCTTATTTTTTAATAGAAACAATGTTGATGCAGCTACAATTTGAGGCTTCTGAACCTCTGTTTGTTTTGCTTTTAAGCATTTTTTATTGTATTGCTGATTAATTAGTCAACTACTTTGCCTATGATACAGTCAAAAACCCCTGAATATTTTTGCTGCGTTTGTAGTAATAACTCCCCAAATACATTACGTAATGAGCACTCTCACAAAATATTAAATTTGCAACTAAAGCTGCTTGTCACAGGCTGAGACAAGGAAATTATTATATTATCAGATGCTTCCCACACTGAGCCTTGAGGGCAGATGCCAGACTGCTGACTAACACGATCTACACCAGCAGCTGCGTTCGGGAAAGAAGCACTGCTGCAAATAAGGATTTTCTTTTTCTGTTCTCTGTGTTTATGTTCTTGTTTGCATTACTCTGCAGCCTGGCAAGAGGCTGTAATATCACGTTGGGCAGAAGGGAAGGGAGCTGGGAGAGCAGTTGGGGACAGRACTGTTGGCAAGGCCACTGCCAGCCTAGTGCTGGCAGCCCCCAGGGTGGCTCTGCCCAGCACAACGTGCTGCCCTCCCAGGGCTYCTGGGAGCCTGTGAGTCCCGGCTTTGAACTGTGAGGAAGGAGAGCAGGAAGATTTAAAAAAAAAAAAATCCATATGTAATCATAGAATCACAGAATGGTTGAGGTTGGCAGGGATCTCTAGAGATCATCCAGTCCAACCCTCTGCTCCAACAGCAACACCCRGAGCACGGGGCACAGGGCGGCATCCAGGCGGGTTKGGAAGATCTSCAGAGAAGGAGRCTCCACAGCCTCCCTGGGCAGCCTGTGCCAGGGCTCTGTCACCCTCACAGGAAAGAAGTTCTTCCTCACATGGAGATGGAACTGCCTGTGTTTCAGCTTGTACYCATTGCCCCTTGTCCTGTCACTGGCCACCACTGAGAAGAGTTTGGTCCCATTTTCTTTACATTCTCCCTTCTGTTATTTGTACATATCGATCAGATCTCCTCTCAATCTTATCTTCTCTAAGCTCAACTATCCCAGCTCACTTAGTCTTTCCTCATGCAATAGGTGCTCCTGTCCCTTAATCATCTCCATTGCTCTAATCAGTATATGGAATTTCAAAATACATGCAGACTTTGCTCTCCCTCAACACTTCCAGCAAGCTAGAAAAGAAAAAGCGTGTCGTTGGCACTAGCCCCTGTAAATTTTTTCACAGTTTCTTCTGTACTTTTTGTTGATGGTAGAAATATTAAAGCAAGAGTTTGACATTTTGCCGCAAGCTAAGGCATTGCTTTTGCTGCCCATTACATAGAAAACTCTTCTTTTTTAGTGCAGGTTTGTGGGTTTTACTGCATTCATTTATTTCTCTAARTAAAAACACACACTAAATATGATGAAATCCTTATCGAGTGAAGTATGTTATTTGCYTCAAAGGAAGAAGAATACGTATTTTTTCGAAGGGCAAGAACCACGTGGCTGCAGACAGCCCTGTCAAAGGGCAGCAGTAATAGAGGCCTCTGGTTCTGCTGAAAACAGTCAGGGCAAAACCCAGGAGTGCCGGGTTGTTCTTTGTTAGGCAGAAAATAGGCAACTTGCCGTTCCYGTCCTGTTCTGTTTTGATACTGTTGACAGAAAATGTAAGAGGGAACAAGGCCAGTTCCCTTGTAATGTAATACTAAATACTCCCTTGTGTATTCTTAAAAGTTTTACATGGGGTTCCCATTAACAGTCAAGCAAAGGTTGGAAATAGAGAAACAAAAACATGGTGAACTATAATAAAACAATTCAAGGCCTTTCTTCTATTATCAACTAATTTGTACTCATTAACATTTTAATTAAGAAGTACAATAAGAAGAAAAAATGCTTAGTACGTACCAATGTCATGTTAGTAAAGAAATGATTTTAACTGTGTTTTTATTTCTTCCTCCAGGCTATTGTGGTGACAGATGGAGAACGTATTCTAGGTCTTGGAGACCTTGGCTGTTATGGAATGGGCATCCCGGTTGGTAAACTGGCACTTTATACAGCATGTGGAGGAGTAAAACCTCATGAGTGCCTCCCGGTGATGCTGGATGTAGGAACAGATAATGAGGTAAATACTTCTATGAGCTGTAGTGAGTATTAGCTCTTTCAAAAAAAGTTATATTAAAAATTGTTTTTCTTTGTTCTCATGCAGTCTTTGATAACGTGGGGATTCGTTAGTGTTATAGAAAAAGTCTCTACGCTAATACACAGTGTAGATATTCTCTTCATAGTGCACATTATAGACATACCTTGCAAGGCTGGAGCAGTCAAGGAAACTATGGGAAATATGCTGCATACATAGTAAGTGCTACAAAATGGTAATGTATTTCAGGACAAAGGGAGACATTATAGTTAAAAGTATAATTCAAGGCAGCATTCCTTCTCTATTTCTGCTGAAGAATTTTTCTGCAGTGGTTTCACATGTGATTTCTCTGCCTCATTTTTGGGGAAGAGTTTGAAGCTGTAGCCTGATCTGTGCTGGGAATGCACATCTATGTACTTCAGCTGTATATTGACTTCAGCTGTAGAAAGCGCAGTCATGCTATGATTTTYCCCCAAATGAATTCCTAGTGCTTGAAGTAAGTAGACCTTATCCTGTATAACTTAGCTTCCCATTTGTATGAAGCAGAGAATTTAAAGAGAGAGCTTTCCATTGAAAAATGGCTTTGTTATTTCCAGGCCTCACAGGATTACTGGTTAAGAACTACTTGGCCCTGTTCGTTCTTTTTTTTTTTTTTTTTTTTCTTTTTTTTAGTGAAAGAAAACTTGAAGTCGTGAGACTGGATGATGTTACCCACAAACAAAATATCATGAGTAAAGTCATTATGATTTAACACAAGTAAACAAATTCTAGACCAAAAAATGGGATAAGCATTAAAACTTGTGTGCGTTACCACATAAATATATCAGAGCTGAATAAAAAAGCTAAATAAAGCACAGCCCTACCAGCAAATTTATCTGCGACTTCCAGGGTGTTGAGCTGGGAACATGCATCCCATCCATGCCCCGCTGGTGTAATCCAGACAGTACATCACAAAAGCATTAATAAACTCGGAAATAGTGCTGCATCCTCTCTCTCTGACCCCCTACTAAATCCCCTTCTGAAAGGGGACAGACACCCTTGTGGCACATAACTGAACAGCTATGTGCAGTTAGGCCACTTACCTCATGCTGAATGGGTCTAAGCAGTTAATCGTATCAGCTACTTCTGATCTATTTTCTTTGATTTTTTTACTTATATGCACCAGTTTCATTATTGTTCACAGGACATTGTATTCTTTAACTATCAAATGCATAAAAATACATACATCAGAGAAAAGCACCCAGGTACTTTTTGTTGTTGTTATGTTCTACTGCAGATGCAAGAGCCTATGTTCGTRTAAGGACCGGTGCCATTTATGTCCTTGTGGGTTTTGGTGGGGTGAGGTGGCACCCGGGCTCTGCCTCCCGGCCTGCTCTGGAGTCAGCACAACCGGGCGTTCAGGGTCAGGCCAAGCTGCCCTTGGATAARTAGATGGTTCATTTGCCTCCTCCAGTGGGGCCTGGCTGCTCCTGTGCTTAAGCCTTTGTCATCAGGGAGCAGGAGCTGGGAATGAGACCTCAGGGTTGTGTTATTGATGGTTGGGCTCCGTGGCCGTAGCCTGTGTTGTGCCGAGCGCAGCCTGCCTGCTAATGCTCYGGGCTGAGCTGCAGCTTGGGAGCAGCTCCCTGGCAGCCGTGCTCCCTGTCAGGTAGGATAGCGGGCAGCAGCTCCCTTTGCTTCAACCCTCTCCCACCCTTCCCATACTGGCAGCCCGTTCCTGCTGCCGCCTTCCTGCTGGTGCTTGTGGGGCCACTTGAGGGAACTGAAATGGCTAAAACCTGAGAACCCTTTTTTGCTGGCATATTAGGTCCAACTGCTGTGCAATCGCACCTAAACTTAAAATTCCTAAACCTAAAATCTAAACCTTTCTGACAAATGACTGTATTCTTTATGCTATATTTCTTCTTCAGGACAGGATTTTCCATACAAATATATAATAGAAATCGCTCTCATGACTTGAGCACATACAAATAATTTTTCTAAACATTTTTTTTTTGAAATGTGCAGATGTTTTCCATTAGGTTAGTTCCTTTTCTGTGGGGGCCTCAATGACTACTTTAAAATCAGTTTTAAAATATGTGTTTTGGCAGCTATAATGCTGTTGCACACAACCTGCACATTCTCCAGAATGATTAAATCTAACTGTAAAGCAGATTGCAAGAAAAAAACACACAAATTCTCATCCTGTATCATTTTGTTATGTTCGGGATCTTAAAAAATAAAAAGCTCTAAGCACATATTCGCACAAATTCTGGCAAGAATTAGATGCTTCATTACTTTCAGTTTTAGCAAAGGTATTTTTAGTTGTGGTATTGTTCCATTGTTCATAATGCCAATGAATGAGTAGAAAAACAAATAAAGCATTTTTATAAAATCATCTAAATAATAAGTAATTGTTTGTTATGAGTAAAAATTGACCTAGTCGAAAGACTTTGCATGACTGAACTAGTAAACTACTCAATATAATCGATGTAGGCACGACTGAGTGTCCAAAAGGAGTGGTGCTGGCCGCTTCCAAAAATAATATGTGTGTTTTGTAAGTCATAGACAAGTTGGAGGCAAGTAATCTTAACTGTTAGAACATTTTTACTCAACCATTTAAAACATTATTTTATCTATATATATATATATAGATAAAACATTATATAGAGAATTGCTAGGTAATTATATGGAGTATTTTAGATGATGAAAGTCTCAATAAAAACTGTGGCTTGACCAGTAGACCAAACCAGTGTTTGGTCTACATCAGGGCTTCATCTCAGGTGGATTTCAATCCAACTGAAGTGAATTCATGGGCCAGTCTCAGTAATGATGCAAAACTGTTCCTGGAAATCCTGATGTCACAAGAGTCCTGGTTTTTGGACATTCATGTGCCATTGAATTGCATGTTAATCTCCTTGCAATGGTTAAAGGAAATCATTGCAGAAGAGAAGATGAATGTTGAGAAGGTACAAGGAAATATTAATTAGGTTAATGAAGATCTACCTGAAAAACACATACTCAGTACCGTAAATTTTAAAATAAACATTTAATTAAAAAATATTAAAATAAAGGCCTTTTTATTTTAAATAAGCCCTTGTTGCTTTAGCCTGACATAAAGCTTAGGTAAAATATTGGAATGGTTGGTTGTCAGAAAAGGTTTGGCTGATCAAAGCTGAGTGTAAAATAACTATTACTGATGAGCAAGATCTTATTAAAACAGATTGGAATTAATTAAATATGAAAATGAGTAAACAAGTTTTGATTGACTCCTATTTTTAGCTTCAGTAACACATTTGRAATCATGCTATTCACTTTAAGAAACTGGACCAACACAAAAACGAACCAGGCTTGTGCTAAATAGTTGTAACACCACCTAAAATATGCATCTCTATGAGGAATAATAAAATAATCATAGACTTACAGTATTTCAGAGGTTTTATTTTTTCAGTTCTGCAGTGTTTAATATCTTTATTGACTTACTGGCAGTATTATTAGTGTTCATAGGTTGTAAATCTAGCCTGCTTTAGTTAAAGTGTAATTACTCAACCAAAGTATATTATGAGTTCTGGGCAGACTAACAGCTTGTGTTGCATAGAAATAAAACTAATGGAGATAAGACTTCTTTTGAGCGTAAAATCTTAGTCTAATCGTGTCTGCTTAACTGAAGGATTGAAAAGCATGTTTGGTTTTGGTATCTTGCATAAGAAATGCCATAGAAGTTATAGCTGCAGCTGCCTCGTRCTCGCTGGTCTGGTCGCACGTGTGATTTCTGGGCAGCTTTGAAGCACCCACTGCTCCTGCATCTGCCCCGTTTCAGGGGCATCAGGAAACCATGGGCTCTTATTTCCTCTTCTGCATGCCTTCCTGTGTGCATGGGGATATATTTTTCCTGACCTTGCTGAGAGAAATGCAGGAGTGCGAGGAGGCTCTCGGAGCGGTGACCAGCGCTCGGTGGGTCAGTGAGTGCCAGCGGGAGGGATGACGGGTGTCCCCATCAGGAGCCTCAATTGGAGAAGCTGAGGGGCAAATTCAAGCCAAGTTCTTCAACCACCTTCTCTAGGTAACTTTCTGCATTTCTGTGACTTGCCACCAAATGTCACAAGAAATGGTACCAGATTTTCAAGGTTCACATCTACTAGAAAAATCTACTTATGAATATGAAAATGGAAACTGTTGATAAAACATAGAGACAAACTTGACTTACAGTTCCTTTCCCAAGCAAAATAGAAACTTGGGCAGAAAAAGAGCTGGGCATAGGAAAGCACTGCAATTTCTAATGTCAGGTACTTCTCCAACAAATCACTGGGTGCAGCTGSAGGGATTTCAGACTGAAAGATAACCACAGTGGACATCCACACATTAATCAGTGGCACTTTCAGAGCATTCTTTGCTTAGCAGATGTATTATAGGGAGGATAACAGTGCCTCTCAGTTAGAAGAAGTGATATTTCTCTGCCTCGCCTTTGATTCACCATTGTTTGGACTAGACCAGCACTTCACTAATAATCACTCTAAAATATTTTTAGTGTTTCCTCAGTTTTACAGATAGGAATTACTCCTGCCATATAAGAAGTAGTTTTGTAGCTGATGCATATATGGGAATCTCAGTTCTAGTTTATGTTCTCCAGTGTGCTCCCTAGTATTTCTGAGTCCTTCTGAAATAGAGATGTCATTATGTGTGATCCGAGCTTGTCATTTAGCTATGTTAAAATGTCACTGATCTAGTTTGATTGGCTAAGTTGGGCCAAGATTAGCTTGGTTGGCCAAGGGGCTTATTTCCATAAGACGACGGCCAATAAACCAAGTGCAGGCAAGGTGCTCTGAGGTAATCCAATGGCCTAATGACACTGAATGTTAAACTTCGGGTGAAACTGGAGGCCTTTTCATTTTTTCTTGCACTGTCTTTCACAAGTTTACTACTATTGAGCAGGTGACATCTTTTTTTTTTTTCACCTTGGATSTTACTACTAGATACTTCCCTGGTAGTGCACTGCCAGCACATTA